GCGGCCACTACACTCCAGTCTGGGCGACAGAGTGAGACTCCGACTCAAAAAAAAAAAAAAGATTCTCACTTTTTAACTTTTTTGATAGTCTTTAACCAATTAAATTATTTTCCACATGATGACTATAAGATAAAGGTATAATTTTAATCCTACACATATAGTGGCTTTCCCTTTACCCTCAGATTAGGTCCAACCAGTGGCCTTGTGTTTTTACTCTTTAAACTCCTTAAGCCAAATTTAACTTCACCCATTTTTCTATATATGCTTAGTTTTCTTTATCTGTATCTTTGTTCACTTCCTTTCTTTTATTCCATTTTCAGTCCAAATCTTATCTATCTGTAACAGACACTCCTGGTTGTATACCAAGAAGGTCCTTCATTCTTATAGCAGAAGATTGGACAGAGTGGTCATATGACATAATTGTGTATTGTATTGTGTATCTAACTTGGAGATTGATTTTGCCTACAAATGACAATAATTTGATTGGAAGTGAGGTGGAGAGGAAGCTAATAATAATGTGTCTTGCTTTCAAACTGGAATTCATACTCATATATCATTTTTCCTCAATTTAAATAGTTCAAAATATTTAACACTAAGATATTATGGCACAAAATGAAAGATATATAGAAATTTTCAAGACATAATATAAGACTAGAAAGGTTGTAGAGCTTAAGTAGCCACTGAAGCACTCAGGTACAAAATGACTGTCCTCTGTCATTAGAGGCAAAAAGTTAGATAGGTATATGGCCAGGGGAAAAATGAAAATCATTGGCTTCAATCCCTTCTCATATGCATTACTTTCTTTTTGCATATTTGCTTACTCAGGATTTTTATTTTTATATACAGATTTTTAAGTCAACATCCAACTGTCAGTGATGATCTGCCAAATCACATAATTTCTGGAAAAGTTCAAGTGAAGCCCAATGTGAAGGAGTTCACAGAAACAGATGCCATTTTTGATGATGGCACTGTAGAGGAAAATATTGATGCTGTCATCTTTGCTACAGGATACACTTTTTCTTTTCCTTTCCTTGATGGTCTGATCAAAGTCACTAACAATGAAGTGTCCCTGTATAAGCTCATGTTCCCTCCTGACCTGGAGAAGCCAACATTAGCTGTCATCGGTCTTGTCCAGCCACTGGGCATCGTGCTACCTATTGCAGAACTCCAGTCTCGCTGGGCTACACGAGTGTTCAAAGGTATGTGAATAGATGTTGGAACAAATGTTGGAGAAAGGTCTAATATTTCTCCTAAAGTTGATCCTCAGTTTATTCTTGATACTAGTTCTCTCCTTTTAGCAAGATGTACTCCTCTTATTCCAAAAAAAGTCAACATACTCTGAATTTTCTCCTCTAGGGCTGAGCAAATTACCCTCAGTGAAGAACATGATGGTAGATATTGTCCACAGGAAAAGGACTATGGAAAAACGGTAAGTAAACAATTAGTAACAAGTCGGGGACTTGGAATTCTTAATTTGGGATTCGAAATTGATGCTTCATCTTGAAAGAGTCATTTCCTACACTGTGTTATTACATAACATCAAAACAAGTGTGAATTTTAGTCACCTAACTCAGTTATGCAATAAATGGTCATATGTGTATTCTCATTCAATCATATTAAATCTGAATTTAAGACCTCAACTTCAACCTCAGTCATTATTGGTATTTCTTTCAGAGTCTCACAAAAATCCAGGAAGCTTATGTGACTTGACAAAATGTAGGAATAGTCTCTGATTTTCACCTTATCATATTCCTCACTGACATCTTTATTGCCTAAGGCTAAGGCACAAGGGGGATCCAAAAAAATATGATATTGTCTTCTGGAGAGTGGGCCCCTTGTAGGCTTTCCCCACTAGGTACGTGTTCTAGAAACCCATTGGCATCAGTGTACCAGCTAGTGTGATTGTGAGAGGTTGTGTTCTTGAGAAACATCCCAAGTTGTGACAAACAGGTGCCTAGTTCTTTCTGCCCACAATGCACTGCCCACAATGCACTGCGTGTTCAGCAGTTTTTGATCAAAAACAGCATGACTTCCATGCCTCACCTTCCCTATTCACCTGATCTTGCCCCAAGCAACGTTTTTTGTTGTTTCCATGGATTAAAAAAACACCTCAAAGAAAAACATTTTACTGATGTGGAAGAGGTGAAACAAAAAACTGCATAAGCCTAAATGGCATCAACATTGACAAATTCAAAAACTGTTATGAGCAGTGAAAATAACATCTCCATAGGTGTATTGCATCAAATGGAGAGCACCTTGAAGATGACTGAAATTTAAACATGTAAGAATAAATACACAATTTGTGAAAATAAATTCCAATTTTTATGGCATCCCCCCTCATACATCTTTAAAGTCTGGAAGCTTTTGGCTTTCCTATCATGAGTAGGGTGCAGGAATCTTTGCTAAGTATGAGGGCTCCAGCCGAGATGTGCTTAGGGTCCAGCCTTCCCAAGAACCCCACAAAGCTATTTTCTCAGACATCTTGCCTTGTGTTCCTAGACTCTTTCAACACAGACTTCTATTTCATACTGTGTGAAATCTCTCCCTCTCGTCTCTTGTTACTTTCCAAGTTATTCTTATTCTCATCCATGAATACAGAATCTAAGGAAACAAAAGCTACAAGGGGAGATGTCTTGTAAATAAGGTACTTCTTTGGTTATATAAGAAAACAATGTCTCTAAGACAAGGAAACACAAATGACTTGGCCACTTCGGCATGTAGTGGTGGAAAAGAATATAGACAAAAATATATAAATTAATATCTCAATCAATAACATTTTCACATTATTTCAGGATTCTAATGACTCTGTGTATTTGTGTATCCATATAAAGGTTTGAAATTCATTCTTATTAACCTGTCCCCTCACACACAGACACTTTGCAGTTTTATAAACTTTGCAACACAAAGAAAAAAGGCATTCAAGTGCCATTCTCATCAATATTTGGAAGAAGTGGTGAATTCATTAAAATGTATTTTTGTGCTTACACAGTAGGCATATTGCTTAAGCATTCCCAATAGGATTATGCACAATCCAAATGGAGAGCAACATGAAATGGTAATTACATAACAGTACCTGAAACAAGCCTTCTGTACCCAGATGCAAGAGCTACAAACTCTATGTTATGGGGAAGGTCCCACCACACAAAACAAATGCTCATTCATGCAGCAGAGGTGCCAGCTCCCACACATCTCTAGGATGACACTTTGGAACATTCTTCACATCAGAAAGACAAACTACCCTGGCCCCTGGAGGTGTTGTACAGTAGGTGTACATGGCTGTTACTCTTCCGTGACACATACTTGTGCAAATTAGAAATAGGCACCCCTTCCTTATGATGCTTTGCTACCTCCAAATGCTGCAAGTAAAACTGCCACAATAAACATCATATCTGCAACATCCACAGTGTGAACGGGCCTGTTATGCAGTCCCTGGATGTGCATTAGAGTAGAAGCATCGGGATCAGAAAGAGCCACCTGAGTAGCTGCCATTCCCAGCAGTGTTGCAGAGTTGCCTTGCTCTGCAAAGAAGGCTATACTCACCGTATCCTTACCTATTACAGCTGTCAAGCTCCCGGGGCCAGGTTACCAATGACTGTCTGATGATCCATCCCCTGGTTGTCTGTAAACACACAGAGGGGCTAGAAGCATTCCATCCTACCAACACACTACACAGAGTATTTAGCTAGATCACAATCTTTCATTTGAAAAATGTACAGTTTAGTAGTACTAGATAATACCTAGTGCTTACAGGCGAGGGGTCACTGTGAACATCAATCTGCAGTTTAGTCACCCTGGTGCAATCGACAATGAAGGCACAGTGAGCATGGAAACTTGGATTATCTGTTCGCTCTGCCATTGAATAGCTGGGTGGTGTTGGGTTTGTCAGTTCAGCTTTCTGACTCTCAGTTTCTTCATCTCTAAAGTGAGTAGAAGTAGCTTAAACTTCTTGTAGTCCTTGGATGATATAAATCTCTGTCCTTCCTCCACTGCTGGAGGCTGTGCATTCACCACACAACTCCCTCTTGTTCCAGGTATGTGAAGACACCCCGCCACACAATCCAAGTGGACCACATTGAGTACATGGATGAGATCGCCACCCTGGTAGGGGTGAAACCCAACTTGCTCTTCCTCTTTCTCTCAGACCCAAAGCTGGCCATGGAAGTTTTCTTTGGTCCATGCACCCCATACCAGTACCGCCTGCAGGGGCCCGGAAAATGGGATGGAGCCCGGAGAGCCATCCTGACCCAGAGAGAGCGAATTCTCAAGCCCCTGAGGACACGCATTACTTGTGAGGATGGTCATTCATCCTCACAGCTGTCTTGGATAAAAATGACCCCAGTGGGTCTGGCATTTCTGGCTGCTGGCTTAGCATACTTTAGATACATTCATCATGGTAAACAAAAATAAGTGAATGAACACTGAGGAGAAGAAAATGTGGGATAGTTTCTACTCATCCTGAATTGTTATACCTTTTATGTTTAAGTCAGCAACATATGTCCAATATTATGTAGTATTACTATAACTGCCTATTGTATAAAATTAATAGATAGACTTTACAAGTAGATTTAGTTCTTAAATATGGGCATGCATCATATTTCTATATAAAACATTGTGAATACATAATAAAAGCCTTGAGGAATGGTTTTGTAACATAAAGTGTACCTAAATTAGTTTCACAAAGCTGGGTTCTTGTAGGAATTTATAAATAAAGTTTTACTTTATTTTCTCCATTTTATTGTTTAATCCTTCAAATGATTCTATCAAATTATCACTCAGAAATAACAGTTTCAGTTTACAGAGCAGAAACAAAGAACTAAGTACCACATGTTCTCACTCATAAGTGGACCCTGAACACTTATCATAATACTATAAGAAAGGGATTGGCGGTAGCGGGAGACTGCCAGGGGAGGAGGGGCACATAACACCAATAAGGGTACATGATCTCAAACCAGGTGAAGTGGGGACCAAAGAGAGATCTAAAGTTTACATGTAAAATGACCACTTATCTACCTAATCCTGAATTGTACCCTACATCTTTAAAAGAAGAAATAATTTTTTAAAAGGAAATTAAAAGACAGGTTAAAAATACTTTAGGTTTCAATATACTAGAAAGAAAATGCTTTTCTTTCCAATTCTTTCACAAGTTTATTTTGAAGAAATAACTATAGAAGAAAGCGCAGTATATTTCAGAAATTTCAATGAATTATTCTACATTTTTAACACTTAAAAATAAACAATCACTGTACTGCATTAAGACTATGGTCATATTGTCACCTAAGAGACAAACATAACTGCACATGAGCTGACCTGGTCTCTTTGACTGGCTTTCAAACTGCCCTCTCCCTATGTGGGAGAGGTGACTTCTTCACTGTTATGATTTGAGGGGTGCCAGAAGTGTTCTCTGCCTAAATGCCTTGTTTCCTTACCATGTGAAATTCTCTCAAGACTAAGCCTTTGTTGTTCAGCTAATGAATGTTGTCACTGTTCCCCTGTTAAAATCAAAGCCACCATGGAATAAGAGTGTGAAAACGGAGTGGAGAGAGGGATGGGTATTGAACAACCTGTGCTGCTGTAGCATTAAGAAGAAACATTAGGCTAGTGGTTCATGCCTGTAATGCCAGCACTTTGGGAAGCCAAGGTGGGAAGGATTGCTTGAGGTCAGGAGTTTGAGACCAGCCTGGGTAACATAGCGAGACCTCGTGTCTACAAAAAAAAAAATTTTTTTAATTAGCCAGGCATGATGATGTGAGCCTGTAGTCCCAGCTACTCAGGAGGCTGAGGCTGGAGGATCGCCTGACCCAGGAAGTGGAGGCTGTGGTTAGCCATGATCATGCACAGCACTTTAGTGTGGGTGAAAGAGTGAGACTCCTGACTCAGAAAAAAGAGAAGGCCATAGTGTAGTGGGAATCTTTACAGAGAGAGACGGGACACCAAGGCTACTTTGCAGGAAACAGTGTTTATTCATGTCAGCACCAGCTCAGCAGATTTGCATCCAAAGGCTGAGCCCCGAACCGATGTGGCATTGCCTTATATATCTCTTAGTTTCTTTGTCTCCCATACAAGGCAGCAGTTTGGTATTATCCATTTGATTGGATATTCTACAGCTGGAGGTGGCAGTTAGCATTACTTGTTACACACTGACTGGTTTTACATAATTATTTCATTTGCATGTCCTATTTGCTGATTGGCTTACGATATCACTATCCTGATTGAATTCCACCAAAAGTTTGAACACGTAACCCACCAAAGTGATAAGCCCATGAAAAGAGTAGCACAGGCTTTGCCAGGCTCGATGGCTCAGCCTGTAATCCCGTGACTTCGGGAGGCTGAGGTGAGTGGATTGCCTGAGCCCGTGGGGTTCGAGACCCACCTGTGCAGGCGAGACCTCATCTCTACAAGAAATAAAAAAATTAGCCGGGTGTGGTAGTGCACACCTGTAGTTCCAGCTACTCGGAAAGCTGAGGCGGAAGGATCGCCGGAGCCCAGCTGGTCGAGGCTGCGGTGGCTGGGATCGGTCACTGCACTCCAGTCTGGGCGACAGAGTGAGACTCCAACTCAAAAAAAACCAAAAAACAAAACAGAAAAGAAAAGAGTAGCACAAAGAAGCAGGAAGTAACTTATTTTCCCTTTTCTTATTCCTGCATTTTCAGAAGGGACACTGCCTCATTCCTCCCTTTGATGCTTGGACCCCTTTAGGGTCAAAGAGCATCATCCTGATTTAGGGGCTGGCATTGCCATAGCATTACTACATGTGCTGCTGTTTTTTTCTGACCATGGTTCCTAAAGCTACAGCAAATATTAAGGCGAAAATGACAACAACTATTAGCAAGGGATGGCACTGAATTACAATAAAAGTTAGAATAGTTCGTTTGCTTGGTAGATGGTCGATTCCTCAGGCTTCTGCCATGCGCAGATTAGTGACTAAAGCAGGGCTGTTGTCTTTCAGGTTCCTGGAGTTGCAGCTTGCTTCCTTGGCGTGTCAACTTTTGCAGCACAGACAGATCAGACATGCATTCCCAGTCTTGGGAGGCTGGTTTCACTCTGCTGTGATGAATCCAGGGGCCTACATCAGCTACCTTTATTGTGGTGGGGGTGGACAAAATGACAGTAAACGGACCTCTCCAAAGAGGCCTTAAGGGCTGGGTTTTCCATCTTTCTCCTGGCTTAAAGGGGTGAGCATTTGTGTTTAAGCTTATAACTTTTTAACCTAATGATGTATAGCAATGAGTGCCATGACAAGAGCCTGCATTTGCTGTCTCAGAGCAAGATTACCCATTTCTTTTAAATTTCCCCTTATATCCTTAATAATGGGGGGGTGGGTGCCCATAAAGAATTTCAAAAGGGGAGAATCCTGTCTGCTTAGTGGGACTAGACCTAATTCTTAACAAAGCAATTGGCAGCAGTTGATCCCAGCGTAGGTGGGTTTCCTGACATAGTTTACTTAGCTGCAACTTTAGATTCCAGTTCATTTGCTCCACCTTTCCGGAACTTTGGGGGCGATAGGCAGTGTGTAATTTTCATGTGATTCCTAAACCTCGTGCCATTGATTGTATTACCTCAGCTACACATGCTGGCCCATTGTCTGACCCTACAGTGACTGAGATTCCAAATCGGAGAATGGTTTCCTTTGGAAGCAGCAGCACCACTTCATGTGCCTTTTCGGTGCATGTAGGAAAGGCTTCTACCCAACCCAAGAAAGTACATACAAAAACTAAGAGATATTTGTATCCTCTGACTCAGGGAAGCTCAACTATATATTCAAATGGAGCCCCTCCACCACTCTGTATTCCTGGGGAGATTCTAGGCCCCTGCCACGGGTTGTTTAGGGCATATACCTCACATTGCTCACATACCATCCAGGCTATGCTGGAGAGCTGAGGACCATAAAAATGTTGGCCTAACGTGGTCTTGAGGGCTGTCTGGCCTGTATGGGTGTCCTGGTGAAATTACCTGACAAAAGTGAGGGTCAAAGGGATGGCAACTCTCCCATCCTTAAATTTCCACCATCCATCTGGAAGGTAGTCTCCTTCTTCTCTTTTGAACCATGTCTGCTCATGCTGTGAATAATTGGGGTGGCATTCTGCCAACAGACTTGAGAACAATGCTGCAGCAAAAGTTGCCAGTTCTGTTGTTTCCTGGGAGGCTGCAAGTTTTGCCTCCCAGTCTGTCTTTCACGTTCCCTGAGTGACTCTTGAGTCCCCCCTCTGGTGTCCCAGCAATGCATAACTGCTACCTTATTAGGGTCACATACAGCATCCAACAATTCAAGAATTTCTCTACCATACTTTATGTCTTCGCCTCCTGAGTTGATCAGTTCCTTTTCCTTATATAGAGCCCCATGTGCATGAAGGGTGGTAAAGGCATATTTAGAATCAGTATATATATTATCACTTAGTCCTGCCACCAGCTGGAGGGCTCAGGCGAGCACAATTAATTCTGCCCTTTGTACAGAAGTCCCTTTTGGCAGAGGCTTTGCCTCAATGGTGGAGCACAGGGTTACCACAGAGTATCCTGAAAACCATTCTTCTTCCCTTATGAAGCTGCTACCGTCGTGAAATATTCCACACTGGGGTTCCTCAGAGGCTGATCTGTCAAGTCAGGTCAGCTGGAAAATACCTCATCCATGACCTTGATGAAATCAAGACAGGGCTGACCTGGCTCGTTGGGCAGCAGGGTTGTAGGGTTGAGAGTCCACACCACTTCTAAATGGCTGTGTAGATTCTCACATAGCATTCCTTGGTATGTGACCATTCAGGCATTTGTTAGCCAGTACTGCCCCTATATTCTATTAATGTCAACACTGAATGTGATACTCTGACTGTTAGCTCCTGTCCCATAATTAATTTGTCAGCCTCTGCCACTAGAAGTGCTGTGGCAGCGAGTGCCACTAGAAGTGTCAAGGCCAGCCTTGGGTGACAGTGTCAAGCTACTTGGAGAGGTATGCTATGGGGTAATGCCAGCACCCCAGTATTGGGGTTAAGACCGCGACTGCCATTCCTGTATGTTCATGTACATACAGAAAAAAAGACTTAGATATGTTGGGGAGTCCCAGGCTGAGTGCGCTAACAAGGGCTGTTTAATTTCCTCAAAGGTCTTTTGTTGTACTTGTTCCCATAACAGTGACTCCCTTTCTCCCCCCTTTGTGGCTTCATAGAGAGGCTTTGCCAGTATTGAGAAGTTAGGTATCCAAATTCTGCAAAACCCTGCCGCCCCAAGAAATTCATGAACATGACACCTGGTGGTTGAAATTGGAATACAGCAGACAGTCTGTTTTCTTTCTGGGCTGAGCTGATGTTGCCCCTGGGATAGATGGAAACTGAGGTAGTTTACCTTTTCTAAGGCAGATTTGGGTCTTCTTTGATACTTTGTAACCGGCCTTCCATAGGAGGATGAGGAGCTGTTGTGTT